TTAATTATATATAACCAAATGATATCTATTACATCACAGAAATATATGTTAGATATCTCTGTTATAAGCATAGACAACAACACAATATGATGAAAGCAACATAACCAAGTTTTAAATTACATTTTTTTTAGGCACAAAGAGATGGCTCTAAATTTCAACAGTTCAAAAACTCAAAGGCCATATAAAGGGTCTGCTTTCTATCTTTCCCCTGGGCCAGTGTACTGGCTTTACCCTCAAGCTAGCTGATATCATGGCTGTAAGATGCTACCGCTATCCCAAGCTTCACCTTTAGACCTGGAAGTATGTTTCTTAACCAGTATCTCTCCTAAGAATGAAAAATTCTTTCCCAAAAGTCTCCAAGCATATCTCCCTCCATATCTCAGTGCCATCACATGCCCATGTCTAAATCAGACACTGGAGAGAAGCATGGGACAACTAGGAATGGCCCAGTGCAAGCCCCTCGAGGCCCCCGCTCTCAGCTGCTCCGAGTAGGAGGCAGTCACCGTACTTCTGTCAGAAAGGAGGCGGGCAGGGGCCGAAATTGGTTAGGTATCTTCCAGGGGCTGAGACAATGTCCTTCCCTCATGTTTGGACTTGTTTCCAAATAGACTGTAAACTCTCTGGACCATGTTTCAAGTTCCCTATGGCTGAGCCTAGCACATTGCCTTCCATGAAACAGTTACTGCATAAGAATATGTTCAAATGCCAGTTTTATGGAATTCACTACAGCCAGATGAACAAACCACCTATGGATCATCTGAAGGGGCATCATAGGAACCACTTTCACATACAGAATCTCTTGTTTCAGGATTTATGGTATTAAGATTCTTCTTTTTAGAGAGGCATTCTTCTGTGTGTTCAGGTAAATCATTAGTCACCATAACAAATGAAAAAAAAAAAAACAAAACACAAAAAACCCACAAAACCCCTCCTCTCTTTGACTTGCCAATTAGAATGACAGCCTTCTGTGGTTCCTTCTCTTTTAGGCTGCGCTGAATCTTTCAGTAACATCCCAAGCTAAGCAAGGCTGATAGTCCAAACCAAAGCTTTTGACTTAAGTGGGAACATTCACATGACATCAGGATGATAATTTTGGTCCCCGATATTTTCCCCATTCTTCCTGAAACACTTTATTTTTGATATGCTGACTTGAATTTGTGCCTTTATTTTGCTAAATGTCTAAAATTCCATCATCGGAAGCTCATCTCTTTCACAGGCTTCTCCCTTTTAATAGGCCCATGGCCATTAGCACATTTAGACAGGAATAGTCATCACCCACTATAGAGGGAATTCATTTGAACTGACGCATTCACTGACTCTTGGTGTTGAAACCTACCTGTCTTGGAGGTCATCTCATAACAAGGTGGTACAGGCAATACTGGAATTTTAATTTGTTAGGAAAGACGAGATACAGCCCTAATATTTAAGCAATTAACTTTCAAATCTGGCTGTACGTCAGAAATGTTTGAATAATTGTTTTTAAATACCGATCTTGAGCCCCAGTGCCTGAATTTAAATCAAACAGAGGCTCATGAACCAGGACTTAAAGAGAGCAAAGCGTAGTCATGGTTGGGCAGGTGTAGCTGTAGAGCCATGGGGTGGGGAGTTACTTTATAAGGCGGTGGTTTATGGCCGTGGAAGTGCTGAGGCTAAGAGGGTGGAGGCAGTTTAGGGTCAGTCCCAGAAATGAGAGATGACCTCAAACTTCCCTTTTAGTCATAAAAGAAAAACTTCCCTACTTTATAATTTTGCTTGGGGTTGTCTTGGGACAATGGTGAGTTGCAAAGGGATAAGAGGAAAAGGGAAAAAGCATCAAGGCAGTGAAGGCAAAGGGAACAGTCTGGAAAATAACACTAAATATGGTCTGATCAAGTGCAGTCAGAACACAGAAGGGTGTGTATAGGTGTATCTCTACGGCTTTGGGGCATGTGTATCATGCCCGTGCCCATGTGCAGTATGTGTACTTGCGTTGATGTGTGTGCATGAGGAGTGTAGCAGAGAAAAAGCCAGAATAGGCAGGACAGCCTGCAGCCAGATGGCGAAGGATTTTTTAGGCCAGGCCAAGAAATCTGGACTTCACTCCGACAGGAGATGGGGAGCCACCAAACTTTTGAAGCAAGGGGTTGATTGGATACAAGTAAGTGTTTAGAAAGATAATGCTGGTGACCACGAGAAGAATGGGTCAGAGGGATAAGAGATAAAACCAGGAAAACCAGTTTACAGTTGTCCAGACACAAAGAAAGAAAGGGCCTGAACTGGGTGGTGGCAGAAGTTGCATAAAGTGGGGAAGATGGACAGAACTTGGAGATAGGCTGTAAAGTTGAAACAAGGGAGAAGATTTCTGGTTTTCGTGTTTGCATGCGAATGCTGCTGCCCCGTAACCAACAGTGGACAAGACAGGAGAGAATTCTGGAGGGCAGGTGTTTTGACTTCAGTTGAGGATGCACTGAGCCCATGCTTATTTGACATCTGGGTGGAGATGGTAGTGGATGGAAATACTGATCCGGAACCAGAAGAGGAGTCTGGCTGGGGATTCTGACTTGAGTGGGGAACTGGCCCAGAGAGAACTGGGAGAATGAAGACAATGATCCCAGATGGAAGTCGAAACACCAAGGACTGGGCTAAACAGATGAGCCTGTGAAAGAGAGTGAGGGAGAGGATTTGAAAGTATTCGGTAAAGAGGGGGGACTCTGGGGCAGGGAAGGAAGATCAGGATTATCTGTGGTCTGGCAGCACACTGGAGAATATAGGTGTCACTGTGCACTCTGAAATTACATTTTCCTTTCCGCTATAGACCTATCATTTAGATTATGAATGACCTAGGCCCCTTATGGCCTTTCTCTTCCATCCTTCATCTGCCAGTTACCATTTCAATGACTGTAAGCACTTAAACCAAGGAGTGATCAATGCAAGGTGATAAACAGGAAACTGAACTTTGAGCACTGCTTTCTCTTAAACACCTATGAGAAGGTTTACAGAAAGTCAATTTGACTCTAAATGTTAAAATGAGATTTGAGGGTTTTAAGTTTCCACAGTGGTTGGCAGGTATGCTGGACAGGATGTGAGATGTATAAACACACATACATACACACATGCTTTTTACATTCTCATTTTTGGTATTTATATTTGTAATATTTCTATTACACAGTTGTACTTGTATATAATTTATAAATACCTATATATGTGTATAGTAATGATGAATACTCAGAAATTTTACATATGTAGGGTAATGCCAAAAAACTTCAGCTATCACTGACCGAGAGATTTAATTATTCATGTTAATTTGGGATGTTCATGATATCAGAAAGTGATGTTGCTTCCCTGGGAATCTGGATTGATATCATAAATGACCAAGCTTGATTATGATCATCCTGAATTTAGAGAAAATTTGTTTCTTGAGTATGCAAATAACTGGAACAGAAGGAAGGAATAAATATTAAAAAATCATTTTTACAGATGTCATTTTAAATCACCTCTGCTTCCTTGCACTGATTTGTCCTTATTAACTACCTCCAGGTTAAAAACGTCTATACCTGACTTCATGCCTTGCAGCAACACATTCCACTAAAGTATTTCTCACTGCTCTTTAAAAAACAAGCCTCAACACTTCAAAGATAAGAAAATGATGTTATGTTTCCATAGTTTCTGTTAATAATGGGTAATTAAAGAGAGATGCAAACCTTGGATTTAAATGTCTATTAGTTCTTGGGAAGGTCGTGGTGTTCCAGGGACTGGTTTTCAACGTGAATCCAACTTTATTTGAAACCCCTAGATTAGGGTTGATGGTCCCTCAAAACACTCTTTGGGTACCAGCACAGAATATCCACGAAGCACCACACAAAGTGTTGGACAGAAAACCTAATGATGGCTAGTTTCTGCTGGGGCTGGGGATAGTGGTGCTATTTCTCTGTTATCTCAGACTGGGAGAAAATGCTACAGGGTTATCTGGATTAGGTTTCTTCCATAATAAAGAATAAGCTGGCTAAATGCCTCAAAGGAGGATAAGAAATATTTATATATATTAGGAAATATTTATATTCTTTGTAAAAACACCTGAAAATCAGAGACCATTTTTTTGTTTGGATAGCTGTTCAAACTACAAAATACAAATGTGGCCCCCCCTCCTCTCAGTAAACTAAAGTTCTTACAGTAAGCACACAGTAGGCTCTGGAAAAGGTCTGGAGAAGGTAAACCTGATGGATGAGGGTCGCACAACTTAGTGCAGAAGGTGATGGGTGTGCCTCACTCTCACCGCCCTGCGGTTGGAGCTACCGCTTCAGTTAATTCTCTTGTTGGCAGCAGCTAAGATCAAGAAAGTAAAAAGAACTTTTTCTGGCCTAAGTTTATATTAAGTTGAACAGAAACGTTACAACAATTAGAGGAAGGCAGAAGGGAAGGAAGAATTCCCTTCTGCCAAGTATTTAAGAGGCACTAGGTTTTTCTATGTCCTCTATGGTTAGAAACATCCGTGCTGCAGCCTGAAGAAATGGAAGCATAATTCACACCCTCGGGTTGAAAAACAGGCATTTCGGGCTCCCAGGCTCCTGCAAAGCCACCGGGTATGGCGCTGAGGTGGTGCGTGCGGCCTCCCAGAACCGGATTCCCGGGACCCGAAGAACCCTCTGGTGTGCGCCCCGGTAGGCACCTGCTGTCAAGCTGGGCTGCAGGACTCTCCATCTTCAGGACACCCCTTAGTCTCCACTCCCTCTGTGCATGTGTGTGCGTGCGCGTGTGTCTAAAACCAAAACGCGCAGGAGCTGACTTTGAAGGGTGCTTCGCAGACAGGGTGAGACACGCCTTATGGGGACACCAGGCGGGGGAGAGAGGGAATGGGGAGTCTCTCTCTATCCGGCTCTGGATGGCTGGGAGCCTAGGTCCACGTGGAATCCGAGCTGAGAGGCGCGCTGCCTGCCCCCTCATCCCGCAAAACTCCTCCCTCCTGCCCCAGGGACCCGCGCAGGTCCCTCCGGCAGCTGATGGAGAGCGAACTCCTCGCTTACCTTGACTGAGCACTAACACCAGCCGCAACGGCACGCCCCCTGTCCGTCCTGGCCGCATCCTGAGCCTGCGGGGGCACGGTAGCTGCTCTCGGATTGCGGAGGGACTCCAGAACGCGGACTCCAGAAGCTGTCCCGAGAGCTTCTCTCGCCCGCCGGGGTGAGGGCAGGGAAAAGTTGCCTGGCAGCTCCTGGGACGCCAAGGCCCGCCCCGGCCCGCCCCGGCCCGCCCCGGCCCGCCCCTCGGCCACGGCAAACACCGGATCTGCCCCGGCCCCGCCCCGCCAAGCCCAGTCCCTGCGGCCCCGCGGGCACCTGCGCTCAACCACACCCCTGGAAACCGCACCTTAACTCCCCCGCGCGGTTCCGGCCCGGGCCGGGGGAAACCCGGAGGCCGCGGGGCTGGGGTCCGCGAGCCTGGAGCTTTTCCTGCCTTGCCCTGGACTGGCCGGGCACATCCGACGGGCGGGAGCCGGCCTGTCACTACCCCGCCCCTGACAGCCGGCCTGCCGCCCGCCCGCCCGCAAGAGACCCCGGTACCCTGGAGAACCTTGGCCCTTCTGCAGCCCTTTGTGGCTCCAGGTTCCAGGCAGAGGTGGAAGGCGGGGGTGGGGGGCGCCGCGAGCCCAAAGCCACGCTTTTACGGGTGGCGCGGTGCGTGGTTCTCTCTGCTTTTCTCAAGTGGGTGGAGAAACGGACAAAAATAAGTGCAGAATGACCAGGTTAGAAACTAACTCGACAGGAAAGAAGATCTGCTCACAAGTTATGATTATCCGAGGTATATTTAAGCAAGACCTGTTGCAAAAGCACCGTGTGTGTGTGTGAGATAAATCCTCATTCATTCCTCTCCTCCAAGATAATAAGCAGCTGATTTGATTACTAAGTTTAAGCGATTTACTTCAAGACTCAAGAGACGAGTGAGAACCCATATATGAACTTGTGACTCTTCCTTTTTGTATTACACCATGACCATTTTATTCCATTATTTGAGTTTCAGATCTGGAAAAAAGGACATTCTGTAACCATATCTGAGATTTTTACTTACCAACCTAAGAAATAGGATATTCTCTTTTCTTTAAATCTGATTTTTCCTCCAAAAGTTCACCCACAAATTCCCAGCACATTGCTGAAACCAGAATTCTACCAGTGACCACTTTTATGAAATAATAAAATGTTTTAATAAATTAAACTTAAGGAACTATTAGACTAATCATTATTATTATCACCATTCCAAATCTTCATGGAGCAGCTAGTATGAGCACTATGGAATATTTGGGATACTGCCACTCAGAAGTAAAGTGGTTCATGGTGGAAGGACTTAATTAATTGGTAAAAATCAAATGCTCTCCTTTACCATAGCTGTAGCTGGAGTCTTAAAGCACTAAATTGGTATTCACCAGATGTTACTACTGCTTTGCACCATTACTATAAACTCAGTACCTTTGAATTCAAAATGTATAGCCCCTGGTTCTTTCCTGTTTTCTTAATCTGCCCTTACTAATTCTACTTACTAATCCTGACAAACACTTGAAGGCATTTTTTTTTTTTTTTGACCTGTCTGTGGTACTCACCTGCTTACTAAGACTCCAGATATCACCTGAGAGCTCTTAGGTGGCCATTCACTAACCCTGACACCAATTTAGCCTCTCCTCACAGACTCCTTGCAGGAAGTCAGCCAGGTTTCAGGGAGATGAATATCTGTCTGTTTCCTTGTGACTCACTGAAATGTGAGTAAGTGTTTGGAACCAACCCTTGTTTGGGAGGCAGTATAGCTCCCTTCATGTGAGACAGGAATCTGTGCTTTGTCTCTGGGTGCTGGAGAGGAAAATGCACCCTTCTTTGCTTTTGTGCTCAGAACTGCACAAATTAACATTATGCTGGCATGAGGTACAGAATAAATCAGGAGCTATATTTTTCCAGAGCAGGCAAAAATTTCAAAGTTCAAGAAACAAAGAATCGACTCCTGCCCCACATTAATTTTAAAAGCATAAAGGGTTCTTGCTACAAAACAGTTTGAGAACTCATGCCTTAATCTTCCTAGCTAGCCTATTCTGCTTAGGTGTAACTGTGCTGGACACCACATCCTGAGGAAATAAGATTAAGGCAGGGCTTTTTAAATCTTTGGTCTCAAGGAGCCCTTTACACTTAAAATTATTGAGAATCTCTCAGATGAATGGATAAAAAGATGGTGAAATATTGTATATATTTTCTAATGCTCCCAAAGTCCTTTATTGGGCCAACAAGGCTGGGAGCTGCTCTTGGAGTGGGGTCCCAGCCCCAGTCCAGATTCTCCAGGTCTATGCTGCCTCTGCCTCTGTTCCTAACTGGGGCAGGTGGCCTCCTCTGACAGGCTCCTTGGTTTGCTCCGTCAGGTATCCCCAGCCCTCCTTGGAGTACCCCTGGGCCTTGGACGGGGCCACCGAGAGAGCCAACATCAGCATAATGATGCCTGAATTCCAGGACTTGTGGTTGTGAGAGTTAAACTTTGGAGGGACTGGGAGCTGGGGTATCTTCAGACTGGTCTTCTCACACATGTACTGGCTGAACTGGTCCATGGCTGGGGGGCAGGGGGGGCTACCTCCTCAGACTTCTGAAGGGCAGTCTGGCTCTTGACACTAGGCCCCAGCAGCTCCTGGTCATACACCAGGTAGATGGTGCCCCCAGCCATACTGCCCTTGATGAGGAACCTCCTCAGCAACCATGCTTGGGGCACTGTGGTCGCTCAGCTCTGTGTGCAAGGACCAAGATGATGGAATATTATTCAGTCATAAAAAAGAAGGAAATCTTACCATTTGCAATGACATGGATGAACCTGGAGAACATTATGTTAAGTGAAATAAGCCAGAGAAAGACAAATACTGTATGATCTCACTTACATGTGGAATCTAAAAAAGTCAACTCATTGTACAGAGACTAGAATGGTGGTTACCAGAGGCTAGAGGTGAGGAAAATGGGGAGATGTTGGTCAAAGGGTACAAACTTTTAGTTATAAGATGAATAAATCCTGGATGTTTAGTGTACAGCATGGTGACTACGGTTAGTAATATTGTATATTTGACATTTGCTAAGAGAGGTCTTAAGTGCTCTCACAACAAAAACAAAAAATGGTAACTGTATGAAGTGATGGATATGTTAATTATCTTGATTGTGATAATCAGATCACAATGTATATATGTATATCAAAACCTAATGATGTACACCTTATAGATATACAAATTGTAATTGTCAATTATACCTTATTAAAGCTGGAAAAAATATGGAGGATCCTAAAGAACTTTTGTTTATGTGGATCATTTCTACCCATGTTTATCATGTAAGAAATTGAAACAGATACATTTCCTAATGTTTATATATTAATTCAACAATAAGGCTCTTATGTGTTAATGTAAATACAAAAAATGTACAAAAAATAGCTATATTTCCCCAAATAAAGAAAATCATGAGAAGAATGGCATTGTCTTACAATTTTGCCAATCTTTTTAATGTCTGCCTTAAAAAATAAACACTTGATTTCTCATATCTGCTCCTGCATCCAATCTCTTGGGATAGGTAGTTTCAGTGAAATTATATTAGTTTGGAATTAATCTGGTAGTTAGAAAAAACAGGACATAATTGTGGATATTCCTGATACTGCCCCCAAACTCAAAAAGTGGTAGTTTTTAAAGACTAGTTCCAATGGGGAATCTGAAACCACATCAACAAACTTTTCTTATCCTAGTGTTGATTTGCAACCTCGGGAGTTCCTGGGGTTGAAATCTGAAACTGGCCTTCACACATGGAGGGCAAGGAGAGAGAGGAGAAAGAGGCAGACCTCTTCCTATTGGGGGGTTGCAGTTTTAATAAGCAAGGGAATTTATAGTCTAGGTTTGTCTGGAGTGGCCACAAGATGAGTGAATTTCCACACTGCTGCCAGAATCTCAAGTTTACGTAGAGCCCTTAACAGGCAGGGTTCAGTCATATATACAGTTCAGATAGTCTCAATAACACATTACTTTCTCAAAGCTGTGTCCCTGAAGTGGCTACTAGTGTGGGAACAGTAGGCAGAACCTACATGTCAAGGACAGGGGAGGGGATAAGGAGCTTCCAATTACCCAGGTCCAACTTGCAGGTCAACCAGCCATCACATCCTCCTGATAACCTCCTCCAACATGTTGTGCATTAAAATTCATTGGTCTATTGAGCACTTTGAGTTGATTTTTCACCCATGCAAAGTTTTGTCCCATCATATATTGATCATTTGGAAAATATTGGTTCACTGAGTTATGCAGATTTTCTAATTGTTGACACATTTCAGTACACAATATCAAAAAAATCATATCATCACCTATCTCATCGGAAAAGTCTTTATATATTGGGAAGCTGTCAAGCTCATGCTGGCACATACACATTTTCCAAAATTTCAATTTTAATTTGAAAACTTGAATTTTATCATTGGCAGCACGTACTATCAGTTGTTCTATGTGAAATGAAAGGCCCACTTCATTCATTTTTGAGAAATGTCTGTATAATACCTAAGACTGAATAATCATAGTTTGTCTATCAATTGTTCTTTCAAGTAAAACTGGTGTTCCATGAGAAACGTGGCTAGTTCAGTTTACGGATCCTTGAGACAACTATCCTATTTCAGTATGCAACACAAATGCTTTATGTGTATTACCAGGTTTACTCATGAAAAATATTTAAAAGACGTACTGTAGCATTGAGATTTAATAAAAGTAGTTAATTTTTCCTGCTTTGTCAAGGACATTCTCTCTCTCCTTTAAGAGATTTTAGAGAGAGAGAGAGAGAGTGCGTGAGAGCACAAATTGGGGGGAGGGTGGTTCAGGGCAGAGGGAGAAGGAGAGAGAGAATCCCAAGCAGGCTCCAAACTCAGCATGGAGCCCAATGTGGGGCTTGATCTCATGACCCTGAGATCATGACCTGAGCCAAACTCAAGAGCTGGACGCTTAACTGACTGAGCCTCCCAGGTGCCCTGTCAAGGACATTCCTAAGTAAAACTATCTTTCTCCTCCTTCCCTCCCTCCCTTCCTCCCTCCTTCTTTCCTCCTTCCTAGTTTCTTCTCTCCCTCCCTCCTCCCCTCCCCTCCTCTGCCCTCTTCTCTCATACTTCCTCCTTCCTTTCTCTCCACTGCTCCCGTTGCCCTCTCCCTCTCATTTTTCTCTGTGTGTCCAG